CCCTCGTCGAGTGCTTTGAGTGTAACCGACAGTTTTCCCTAAAGGTCAAGCCATTTACCTATAAGCATGCCAAAACTGAGCCAGATGTAAAGAGGGTAAGTGCCATAAAATCCGTTTTGAAATGACCCTCTGTTTTCCCCATAAAATACAAAGATTATATAGGGAAATACGACTGGTCAGTTTTGACCCATTTCCCGATTTTTCCCGGACATGGCGAGTTTTTTGTGACACCCCAAGGTGTTCTTCTACCACCTCACAAATTATCAAGGGGGGTCGTCGGAGGAATTTTTTTTTCGTAATAGAGCTCATATAAAGAGAATTTCACTCGCGGTCACTTTTTAGCCCTCGTCGAGGGCTTTGAGTGTAACCGACAGATTTCCCTAAAGGTCAAGCCATTTACCTATAAGCATGCCAAAACTGAGCCAGATGTTAAGAGCGTAAGTGCCATAAAATCCGTTTTGAAATGACCCTCTGTTTTCCCCATAAAATACAAAGATTATATAGGGAAATACGACTGGTCAGTTTTGACCCATTTCCCGATTTTTCCCGGACATGGCGAGTTTTTTGTGACACCCCAAGGTGTTCTTCTACCACCTCACAAATTATCAAGGGGGGTCGTCGGAGGAATTTTTTTTTCGTAATAGAGCTCATATAATGAGAATTTCACTCGCGGTCATTTTTTAGCCCTCGTCGAGGGCTTTGAGTGTAACCGACAGCTTTCCCTAAAGGTCAAGCCATTGACCTAGGAGCATGCAAAAAATTAGCCAGATATACTGAGCTTAAGTATCCTAAAGTCTGCGTTGAAATGACCCTCTGTTTTTCCCATAAAATACAAAGATTATATAGGGAAATACAACTGGTCAGTTTTGACCCCTTTACGAAGTTTTCCCAGATATGCCGAGTTTTTTGTGACACCCCAAGGTGTTCTCCTACCACCTCACAAAATTTCAAGGGGGGTCGTCGCAGGAATTTTTTTTTCGTAATAGAGCTCATATAAAGAGAATTTCACTCGCGGTCACATTTTAGCCCTTGTCGAGGGCTTTGAGTGTAACCGACAGTTTTCCCTAAAGGTCAAGCCATTGACCTAGGAGCATGCAAAAAATTAGCCAGATATACTGAGCTTAAGTACCCTAAAGTCTGCGTTGAAATGACCCTCTGTTTTTCCCATAAAATACAAAGATTATATAGGGAAATACAACTGGTCAGTTTTGACCCCTTTACGAAGTTTTCCCAGATATGCCGAGTTTTTTGTGACACCCCAAGGTGTTCTCCTACCACCTCACAAAATTTCAAGGGGGGTCGTCGGAGGAATTTTTTTTTCGTAATAGAGCTCATATAAAGAGAATTTCACTCGCGGTCACATTTTAGCCCTCGTCGAGGGCTTTGAGTGTAACCGACAGTTTTCCCTAAAGGTCAAGCCATTGACCTAGGAGCATGCAAAAAATTAGCCAGATATACTGAGCTTAAGTACCCTAAAGTCTGCGTTGAAATGACCCTCTGTTTTTCCCATAAAATACAAAGATTATATAGGGAAATACAACTGGTCAGTTTTGACCCCTTTACGAAGTTTTCCCAGATATGCCGAGTTTTTTGTGACACCCCAAGGTGTTCTCCTATCACCTCACAAAATTTCAAGGGGGGTCGTCGGAGGAATTTTTTTTTCGTAATATAGCCCATATAAGGCGCCGGTCAGTCGAGGTCAGTTTTGACCCCCGCTCCGTAGACTTTTTGCCGAACCGTCACCGGCCCTCGTGTTCTATCGCCATAAGGCACCTTAGTGCCAAATTTGACGCGCCTGCGGCGCCGGGAAGTGCCCTATCGGGCACCCGACCACTTTGCTTTATATATATAGATAGATAGTTAAAGTGATCTTCTCTGATACTTAAAGTATCTTTCTTTTTCTTACGGCATGTAATTTAAGACATAATTCCTTTTCTGGACTAGATGTCATGTCTGATCGATATTTTAAGTTACTTTTTTTCACATCTAGATGGCATGGCTGTACGCTGCTTTTTCGGTAAACGGAAAAAAGTCACAGGAAAACAAAAACACAAAATCAGTTTTCGCTAGGAAAAAAAAGTCACAGAAAAAAAGTCACAAAAACTTTTAAGAAACATTTTGATTTTAATTGTTGAGAATTGTAAAAATTTTGGGTGTTTGTTGATATGGTTGTTTTTTTTTTTGTAGCTTATTTTTAAACGTTAAAAGCATTATAGTTTATAGCACTAATAAGTAAAAATACTATAACGTAATTTACACATCAACCTAAACTTTTGTAATGTATTATTTTTGCAGTTCGTTGGTTGGCTTCTCCTCAGTCGGCGGTGTCCGTCCATATTGTGTGTTGTTGACTTTTTGCGTCAATGACAGCCTTTGTACTGTGTCGGCTTTCTGTTTTGATCCTTTGTTATGTAATGAGCGTGGTAAATGTGGGCAGTATAGGTGGTTGACCTATTGCAATGAGTTGAGGGCGGCAAGTCACATTAACTATGTCTTTATGCCACTAATTTAAAGTTAGTATACACAATGAAAAAAGAGAAGGTTGGAACATTTGATTAAATTCTCTTAAATATTATATGTATAAACGAAATTGAAACATACATACTTCCCACTATATATTTAAGAGTGTTATAAATATCACTATAATTAGACAACGTACGCGCATTACATTACATTTAATAATTGCAATTAGATTTGCACCCTCTGAATATTTAACAAATTCCATGCAAATATACATATGTGACATTTTTCACTGTGACTTTTTTTCCTACAATAATTTGTTGCTGTAGCAAGGAATTAGCCCGACCGGCTACTGCTTCATTAATGTATGTTATAGATCCAGTTTGTTTTTGTTAACAAAACCATTATTTGGGCTAATTTTTGTGGAGACTTACAGTTCAGAAGAGTATTCAAAAGCTGGACATTTTTGTCATCTGGACATTTTTGTCATCTGGACATTCCTTATCTTGATAGCTCTGGACATTTATAATGTCAACCGTTAAATTAATAATATCAACAATTACATGAGAACATTTTCGATACGACTTATACAGCATACTTCTGGTGGTATCGATATTTATAGTCGTACTGTTACTATCTATAGTCGTACTGTTACGGCATTAGGTATCGATATTTATAATCGTACCCTTACAGCCTGAGCCTTCACAATTATAAGCTAGCGATATCCACTTTTAGTATTTAGCATATGCCTACCTATCAGATGTATTACACACCGCACTTATCACATACTTATCACATACTTATCACATACTTATCATACTAATCACCTTTTTGATCATAGCCTGTCCCGTGGCTACAGGTACATCAATTAAACGTCAACATCACCATAGTCACAAACTCTCAACAATATGATCAGCATTCACCTAGATAATATCACAAAGTTCATCTTAGCCATTTTCAAATCACCAACTTCAAATCACAAAATTCAAATCACCAACTTCAAATCACCAACTTCAAATCACCGACTTCAAATCGTTGATCTATTATTAGCCGGATTGTGCATGTGCGTGACGACTCCGGTCGCCATTTTAATTTAACTCACGCTCCCCCACCCCTCCCCAGCCCCAGGGTCGGGCGAGTAGAACGTCTGGGTACTGACAGGTTTAGTGCTACTATCTCACCGACCCGCCTGGAGCGGAACCTGGGTGCTTTACGGCGTCTGCGCGTGTCTGGCACAGGCTGGGCGCGAGGGGTCAACCGGAAGTTGCCAGATAAGAGCTGAAAGACTGGGCTCATCCCAACAGAAAATATGGACATCTGAACTTTGGAACTTTTCAAACGGTTCAAAGGAGAACTACAGGGAAGGAACAAAATAAATTGAGAAGGGGGTGAGGGGTATTTGGTCAGAGCCAACCCCCCCTTCCCAACCGAAACAATAGCTTGAAAAATCGAAGATATACCAATCATTGGAGTATTTTCAAAGCATCGTTTCAGATTTCGCGTTTCTCAATTAATGCTTTACAATTCTATAGTCTTCACTTTTCACACTTCTCATTTGTGGTGTTGTGTGGTGTTGTGTTTTGTTGTGTGGTGTTATGTGGTGTTGTGTTGTGTTTTGTGGTGTTTTGTGGTGTGTGGTTTGTGGTGTTGTATTGTGTTGTGTTTTGTGGTGTGTGGTTTGTGGTGTTGTGTTGTGTGGTGTTTTGTGATGTTGTGTGGTGTTGTATGGTGTTGTATTGTGTTTTGTGTTGTTGTTTTGTGTGACGTAGTGTTGTGTGGTGCGGTTTTGTGTGGTGTTGTGTGGTGTTGTGTGATGTTATGTAGTGTTTAGACTTCTTTCGTATTACTATTTCATGTTCCTTATAATTGAAGTTTAAACCAAGGCTAGTAAAGTAGTTGACTGGTACACTATTCTCTAAAATATGTTACCTATATATTCTTTGTTATGTCTGTTAACCTTTAGAGCATGGCGATCTATAGTGCAGATGATGTAGAGTTCAACCGATCCATCGACTGGTATTTCTAAATCCGTAAACTAATTTAAACATAATGTGTTCAAAATTATTCAGTTTTACATTCATGTTTCCTCAGAGGTGAAGACAACTTACACATCAAACACTAACAACATATATAAACTAGATACCACAACATCTAGCCACCACACCATCTAGACACCACACCAACACCATATAGCCACCACACCAAAACCATCTAGACACCACTACAACACCATCTAGACACCACACCATCTAGCCACCACACCAAAACCATCTAGACACCACTACAACACCATCTAGACACCACAACAACACCATCTAGACACCACAACAACACCATCTAAACACCACACCAAAACCATCTAGACACCACTACAACACCATCTAGACACCACACCATCTAGCCACCACACCAAAACCATCTAGACACCACTACAACACCATCTAGACACCACAACAACACCATCTAGACACCACAACAACACCATCTAAACACCACACCAACACCATCTAAACACCACATTACCCACCACTATGGACTACAGCAACCTGACCAGCACCATGGCCACCACCGCCAGTTCAGCCAGCACGAAGCTGACCCCCACCGAGTGGTACGTCGTGTCCACCATGTTGTCCATCTTCTCCGTCACCGGCATCATCGGCAACGCTCTGGCCATCTACGTCTTCGCCAGCCTCAAACAGAAGGTAAACAAAAGCCATTTACTTTCTTTATAGAGGGTAAACAAAAGCCATTTACTTTCTTTATAGAGGGTAAACAAAAGCCATGTTTCTTTCTTCATAGGGGGTAAACAAAAGCCATGTTTCTTTCTTTTTTCTTTCTTCATAGGGGGTAAACAAAAGCCATTTTTCATTCTTCATAGGGGGTCAACAAAAGCCATTGTTTCTTTCTTCATAGAGGGTAAACAAAAGCCATTTTTCATTCTTCATGGGGGGTCAACAAAAGCCATTGTTTCTTTCTTCATGGGGTGTAAACAAAAGCCATTTTTCATTCTTCATAGGGGGTCAACAAAAGCCATTGTTTCTTTCTTCATGGGGTGTAAACAAAAGCCATTTTTCATTCTTCATAGGGGGTCAACAAAAGCCATTGTTTCTTTCTTCATGGGGTGTAAACAAAAGCCATTTTTCATTCTTCATAGGGGGTCAACAAAAGCCATTGTTTCTTTCTTCATGGGGTGTAAACAAAAGCCATTTTTCATTCTTCATAGGGGGTCAACAAAAGCCATTGTTTCTTTCTTCATGGGGTGTAAACAAAAGCCATTTTTCATTCTTCATAGGGGGTCAACAAAAGCCATTGTTTCTTTCTTCATGGGGTGTAAACAAAAGCCATTTTTCATTCTTCATAGGGGGTCAACAAAAGCCATTGTTTCTTTCTTCATGGGGTGTAAACAAAAGCCATTTTTCATTCTTCATAGGGGGTCAACAAAAGCCATTGTTTCTTTCTTCATGGGGTGTAAACAAAAGCCATTTTTCATTCTTCATAGGGGGTCAACAAAAGCCATTGTTTCTTTCTTCATGGGGTGTAAACAAAAGCCATTTTTCATTCTTCATGGGGTGTAAACAAAAGCCATTGTTTCTTTCTTCATGGGGTGTAAACAAAAGCCATTTTTCATTCTTCATAGGGGGTCAACAAAAGCCATTGTTTCTTTCTTCATGGGGTGTAAACAAAAGCCATTTTTCATTCTTCATGGGGTGTAAACAAAAGCCGTTGTTTCGTTGTTCATAGATGGTCACCAAAAGCCAATGTTGCTTTGTTCATAGAGGGTTAACAAAAGCTATTGTTTCTTTGTTAGTGGTTTTATATAGGGTCAACAAAAGCCATTGTTTATTTGTTTGTGGTTCATAAAGGGTAAACAAAAGCCATTGTTTCTTTGTTTGTTGTTCATAGAGGGTCAACAAAAGCCATTGTTTCTTGGTGAAAGCTTTCACAGATATACAGTGTAGTCTATTGTGTCCATTACATCAGATATGTCCAGATAATAACACAAAAAGTTTTCTGATTCTGTAATACTTTCAAGACCTTAGTTTTTCGCTACCATCAAACTTCAATGACGTGAAGGATTACCCAGTCCGTCTCCCATATCCCATAACCCATCACCCCATCCCATATCCCATCACCCCATCCCATATCCCATCACCCCATCCCATATCCCATCACCCCATCCCATATCCCATCACCCCATCCCATATCCCATCACCCCATCCCATACCCCATCTCCCTTTGCGCATCGCCCCACGTCATCCCCCTGTGTCCGACGAGCCATTTCCGGCCAGTAATGACGACCAAACTCCGTTACTTTACTAGCAAGTCATTCAACCAGTAATGATGACCAAACTCCGTTACTTTACTAGCAAGTCATTCAACCAGTAATGACGACCAAACTCCGTTACTTTACTAGCAAGTCATTCAATCCGTCACTCATGACCTCCCCTGGCATTACCAAGACCAGTAACTCTGTGTTTTAAGGGGAGATTACCGCTACTTTATAGACACGTCTTTGCTTTAGTTAAAGCACTCATACCATCAGAAAGCGCCGAATCAAGATATTCCAGTTCTTATAATTAAGTGCCAACATCTCAGTATTATAACTCCCCTTCGTTTCCGACCTGACAACAAGTATCTCAACAAAATATTTTTTACAAATAAAAAACAGAAACAAATCGTATTTGATTCGTATAGAAATTCCAAGTTTTTTACGAAATGTTAAACACGAAACCGGAAGTGGCTTGACAGGTTAAAAGGAAAGAAAATACCGTCGAGACTTTTGGTCTCTTGTATGGCTCAGATGTCATGTCTGTCCCACTATACAACCAATGTCATGTCTGCCCCACTATCCAACCAATGTCATGTCTGCCCCACTATACAACCAATGCCATGTCTGCCCCACTATACAACCAATGTCATGTCTGCCCCACTATACAACCAATGTCATGTCTGCCCCACTATCCAACCAATGTCATGTCTGCCCCACTATACAACCAATGCCATGTCTGCCCCACTATACAACCAATGTCATGTCTGCCCCACTATCCAACCAATGTCATGTCTGCCCCACTATCCAACCAATGTCATGTCTGCCTCACTATCCAACCAATGTCATGTCTGCCCCACTATCCAACCAATGTCATGTCTGCCCCACTATACAACCAATGTCATGTCTGCCCCACTATACAACCAATGTCATGTCTGCCCAACTATCCAACCAATGTCATGTCTGTCCCACTATCCAACCAATGTCATGTCTGCCCCACCAACAAATGTCATGTCTGCCCCACTATACAACCAATGTCATGTCTGTCCCACTATCCAACCAATGTTATGTCTACCCCACTATACATCCAATGTCATGTCTGCCCCACCAACAAATGTCATGTCTGCTCCACTATACAACCAATGTCATGTCTGCCCCACTATACAACCAATGTCATGTCTGCCCCACTATACAACCAATGTCATGTCTGCCCCACTATACAACCAATGTCATGTCTGCCCCACTATACAACCAATGTCATGTCTGCCCCACTATACAACCAATGTCATGTCTGCTCCACTATACAACCAATGTCATGTCTGCCCCACTATACAACCAATGTCATGTCTGCCCCACTATACAACCAATGTCATGTCTGCTCCACTATACGACCAATGTCATGTCTGCCCCACTATACAACCAATGTCATGTCTGCCCCACTATCCAACAAATGTCATGTCTGCCCCACTATACAACCAATGTCATGTCTGCTCCACTATACAACCAATGTCATGTCTGCCCCACTATACAACCAATGTCATGTCTGCCCCACTATACAACCAATGTCATGTCTGCCCCACTATACAACCAAATGTCATGTCTGCCCCACTATACAACCAATGTCATGTCTGCTCCACTATACAACCAATGTCATGTCTGCCCTATTATACAACCAATGTCATGTCTGCCCAATTATCCAACCAATGCCATGTCTGCCCCACTATACAACCAAATGTCATGTCTGCCCCACTATACAACCAATGTCATGTCTGCTCCACTATACAACCAATGTCATGTCTGCCCAATTATCCAACCAATGTCATGTCTGCTCCACTATTCAACCAATGTCATGTCTGCCCCACTATACAACCAATGTCATGTCTGCCCCACTATCCAACCAATGTCATGTCTGCCCCACTATACAACCAATGTCATGTCTGCCCTACTATCCAACCAATGTCATGTCTGTCCCACTATACAACCAATGTCATGTCTGCCCCACTATACAACCAATGTCATGTCTACCCCACTATCCAACCAATGTCATGTCTGCCCCACTATCCAACCAATGTCATGTCTTCCTCACTATCCAACCAATGTCATGTCTGTGCCCCACTATCCAACCAATGTCATGTCTGCCCCCCCCCACTATCCAACCAATGTCATGTCTGCCCCACTATACAACCAATGTCATGTCTGCCCCACTATCCAACCAATGTCATGTCTGCCCCACTATACAAACAATGTCATGTCTGCCCCACTATACAACCAATGTCATGTCTGCCCCACTATACAACCAATGTCATGTCTGCCCCACTATCCAACCAATGTCATGTCTGTCCCACTATCCAACCAATGTCATGTCTGCCCCACTATACAACCAATGTCATGTCTGCCCCACTATACAACCAATGTCATGTCTGCCCCACTATACAACCAATGTCATGTCTGCCCCACTATACAACCAATGTCATGTCTGCCCCACTATACAACCAATGTCATGTCTGCCCCACTATACAACCAATGTCATGTCTGCCCCACTATACAACCAATGTCATGTCTGCCCCACTATACAACCAATGTCATGTCTGCCCCACTATACAACCAATGTCATGTCTGCCCCACTATACAACCAATGTCATGTCTGCCCCACTATACAACCAATGTCATGTCTGCCCCACTATACAACCAATGTCATGTCTGCCCCACTATACAACCAATGTCATGTCTGCCCCACCAACCAATGTCATGTCTGCCCCACTATACAACCAATGTCATGTCTGTCCCACTATACAACCAATGTCATGTCTGCCCCACTATACAACCAATGTCATGCTTGTGTCTACACTGTCCAACCAATGTCATGTCTGCCCCACTATACAACCAATGTCATGTTATCCCACTATACAACCAATGTCATGTCTGCCCTATTATACAACCAATGTCATGTCTGCCCCACTATACAACCAATGTCATGTCTGCCCCACTATACAACCAATGTCATGTCTGCCCCACTATACAACCAATGTCATGTCTGCCCCACTATCGAACCAATGTCATGTCTGTCCCACTATCCAACCAATGTCATGTCTGCCCCACTATACAACCAATGTCATGTCTGCCCCACTATACAACCAATGTCATGTCTGCCCCACTATACAACCAATGTCATGTCTGCCCCACTATACAACCAATGTCATGTCTGCCCCACTATACAACCAATGTCATGTCTGCCCCACTATCCAACCAATGTCATGTCTGTCCCACTATCCAACCAATGTCATGTCTGCCTCACTATCCAACCAATGTCATGTCTGTGTCACACTATCCAACCAATGTCATGTCTGTCCCACTATACAATCAATGTCATGTCTGCCCCACTATACAACCAATGTCATGTCTACCCCACTATCCAACCAATGTCATGTCTGCCCCACTATCCAACCAATGTCATGTCTGCTCCACTATACAACCAATGTCATGTCTTCCCCCCCCCACTATCCAACCAATGTCATGACTTCCCCCCCCCCCCCCCACTATCCAACCAATGTCATGACTTCCCCCCCCCACTATCCAACAAATGTCATGTCTGCCCCACTATCCAACCAATGTCATGTCTGCCCCACTATACAACCAATGTCATGTCTGCCCCACTATACAACCAATGTGATGTCTGCCCCACAATACAACCAATGTCATGTCTGCCCCACTATACAACCAATGTCATGTCTGCCCCACTATACAACCAATGTCATGTCTGCCCCACTATACAACCAATGTCATGTCTGCCCCACTATACAACCAATGTCATGTCTGCCCCACTATACAACCAATGTCATGTCTGTCCCACTATCCAACCAATGTCATGTCTGCCCCACCAACAAATGTCATGTCTGCCCCACTATACAACCAATGTCATGTCTGTCCCACTATCCAACCAATGTTATGTCTACCCCACTATACATCCAATGTCATGTCTGCCCCACCAACAAATGTCATGTCTGCTCCACTATACAACCAATGTCATGTCTGCCCCACTATACAACCAATGTCATGTCTGCCCCACTATACAACCAATGTCATGTCTGCCCCACTATCCAACAAATGTCATGTCAAACCAGAACTTAGATATTGAGTGAACTAAAATATTAGTTTAAACCCAATACTTGCGTTATATATACAACATAATAAAACTCACTCCTAACATAGAATAAAATATCATTGGACCTATATATATATGAATATAAAAAATCATCTTAGTCTTTATCTTAGAGTAAAATGTCATTCATTAGCCCTTCTTTAGATGTAAAATAGTAACTTTTTAGCCCTTATATAACTTTAAAATATAATTTCTCAACCTTTTTTTTTAGGTAGAAAGTACCTTATCTAAGTGTAAAATGCCATTTCTTAGCCCTTATCTAAGTGTAAAATACCATTTCTTAGCCCTTATCTAAGTGTAAAACACCATTTCTTAGCCCTTATCTAAGTGTAAAATACCATTTCTTAGCCCTTATCTAAGTGTAAAATACCATTTCTAAGCCCTTATCTAAGTGTAAAATACCATTTCTTAGCCCTTATCTAAGTGTAAAATACCATTTCTTAGCCCTTTTCTAAGTGTAAAATACCATTTCTTAGCCCTTATCTAAGTGTAAAATACCATTTCTTAGCCCTTATCATTCCAGCTGACCTCCACGATCTTTATCTTGACCTTGGCCGGCACAGACTTCATCACGTGCCTCATCACCATCCCCTTCACCCTCATCATCGAGTACATGGAGTACAGCATCGACTCGGACGAGTTCTGTAAGGTCTACCACTTCCTCATCACCACCACGGTGCCGTTCTCCTGCGTCGTTATAGTGGCCATCGCAGTCGACAGGTGGGTTCTAAGTGGTATTTGGTGGGGTAGTATTTGGTGGGTTATATGTGGTATTTGGTGAATTCTAGGTGGTGTTTGGTGGGTTCTAGAGTGTTTTTTAGTGGTTTCTTGTTGGTATTTGGTGGTTTCTAGGTGGTATTTGGTGGGTTCTTGGTGGTATTTGGTGGGTTCTTGGTAGTATTTGGTGGTTCTAGGTGGTATTTGGTGGGTTGTAGGTGGTATTTGGTGGGTTCTAGGTGGTATTTGGTGGGTTCTGGATGGTATTTGGTGGGATATTTGGTGGGTTCTAGGTGGTATTTGGTGGGTTCTAGGTGGTATTTGGTGGGATATTTGGTGGGTTCTAGGTGGTATTTGGTGGGATATTTGGTGGGTTCTAGGTGGTATTTGGTGGGATATTTGGTGGGTTCTTGGCGGTATTTGGTGGGTTCTTGGCGGTATTTGGTGGGATATTTGGTGGGTTCTAGGTGGTATTTGGTGGGATATTTGGTGGGTTCTAGGTGGTATTTGGTGGGTTCTAGGTGGTATTTGGGGGGTTCTAGGTGGTATTTGGTGGGATATTTGGTGGGTTCTAGGTGGTATTTGGTGGGATATTTGGTGGGTTCTAGGTGCTATTTGGTGGGATATTTGGTGGGTTCTAGGTGGTATTTAGTGGGTTCTAGGTGGTATTTGGTGGGATATTTGGTGGGTTCTAGGTGGTATTTGGTGGGATATATATTGGGTTCTAGGTGGTATTTGTGGGATATTTGGTGGGTTCTAGGTGGTATTTGTGGGATATTTGGTGGGTTCTAGGTGGTATTTGGTGGGATATTTGGTGGGTTCTGGGCGGTATTAGGTGGGATATTTGGTGGGTTCTAGGTGGTATTTGGTGAGATATTTATTGGGATCTAGGCGGTATTTGGTGGGTTCATGTGGTATTTGGTGGGTTATAGGCGGTATTTAGTGGGTTCTAGATTTCATTTGTGTTTTAAAATGTCTTTTATTATTTGGTTGTTTTTTTTTACAGATTTATTACTGGACTAGGAGAAACATGTTTTTTTTCCTAACAAATACTTGTGATTTTATTCTAACAGATACATGTGATTTTATTCTAACAGATACATGTGCTTTTATTCTAACAGATACATGTGCATCTGTCACCCCTTTCATCATTGGATGAACATACAAAGAGCCCGCATCATCATCGTCTGTCTCGTCGTCATCATCTTCATCATCGGCGGCATCGTCGGTGCCCACCACAGCATCTACAACCTAACCTACGTCAACGACACCTCGACCTTTACCCCCTCTCTACACACCCCGAAAACCTTCGACATAACCATTGGAGGAACCGGTATGACCTTCACCCCTGACCCCATTTCCCCCGGCCCCAGCTACTCGCAGGAGGTTCCCATGCCAGCAAGGAACCGAACCCAGCCCTCCGTGGCGCCGGTCGAGAACACAACCGTGCTGATCAACCCCATACACGCCGTGTACGTCAAGGTGCCGTGTGACGTCAACGAGAACCTGTTCAATGCCGGCTTCTTCAAGGTCTTCAAGTACATGTACACCGCCATCTTCGTCGTCAGCTGTGTCATCGTCTTCGCTCTTTACGCTCTCATCTATAGGTCAGTCTTTCATACACACAAACTCACACACATATAGCCTATATATATATATATATATATATATATATATATATATATATATATATATATATATATATATATATATATATATTCCATAGAAAAGTATTATTTGTATTTCGTTCGTGTACAGTGTGAATTAGGGAGGATGGGGGGGGTACTTTACAAGGATATGGGGAGTAATTGTGTGTGATAAATCTGAGGGTAATGGTGAAGGGGCAAATATCCTAGACTAAATTATATACATAAAATAAAAAAATAAAATATATATATATATATATATATATATATATATATATATATATATATATATATATATATATATATATATATATATATATATATATATATGTATGTATATATATATGTATATATATGTATATATATATCCATATGTATAAATATGTATATATATATATATATATATATATATATATATATATATATATATATATATATATATATATATATATATATATATATATATATATACATTCATATCGGCCTAGGGCTAGGGTTATAGGGCTGGTAAGTAGGTCACCAACCAGTTCTATGGCTCAATAAAACCTGCATGAGCCATATAACTGATTGCTGACCTACTTAACAGCCCTATAAGTACATCTCTCATGTACTAGATTCTAAATGTAGTTTTAGCCAAACGTCACCGTTCTATATTTCTGCCCATTTTCCCCCCAGGTCCGTGATCGCCCAGCGCAAGAAGAAGCTCCACATCAAATCAGCTCAGTGCTGCCTGCTGTGGAACGCCGCCAGCGTGGACCAGCCCCACGAGACGGCGGAGATGACCCAGGACATTGAACTGAGTCACGTGAACGGGGATGAGCGCACCAGACAGAACTCGGCCACGGCGGAGGAGCTGGAGACGCACAACAACGGTGCGGTGCGCAAATGTTCGCTCTCCAAGGCGCGCATCGAGAGGATGCGCGTCGCCAACATCAAAACGGCCCTGACCTTGTTTATCGTGACCTTGGTGTTTATTCTGGCCTTCTTGCCGGCGTGGCTGATGGCGTTAGAGGTCATTCAGATGAAGGTCATAGTCTTCTACATGCACTTCGTCTACAACGTCGCCAACCCGTTCATCTACGCTTTCCTCAACCAGAACTTCAAGACGGAGCTGCGACGTATCTTGAGGTGCGGCAAACAGTGACACTACACCAACAAACTTAGTTCGACTTAATTACAATTTTACTTAATTATCCATCATTTGCATGGATTCCAAATCCCCCTGTTTATAAAACCACCAACTTTGGAATAACGGTCAAGTTTTCTACATCAACCTGACAACCGGAATTACAAACTGTCCAATCACCATCGAGTGCTGTTTTATAAAGCACAGCAGCAGCTTTGATGAAACGACTGCTGTTCTACCAGACACAGCTTTAATGACGCAGCTTAGTGACGTGTTATCTGCTATGACGTCACCCATGAACCTGTCTAGTGGCACACTGGCTGCTGACAGTGTCAGCTCTGACTCCAAATGGTCCCCGACGTGTTCATAAAGTGTTCGATTAAGTTTGGATATGATTTCAATATTGGTCGATTGGGTGGATATTTCTATCTTCGACTAACTGGATGGACATTTTAAAGTGTGGTCGGCTACATGGACATTTCAATATTCGAATCACTGGATGGACATTTCAACATTCGGTCACCTAAAAGGACTTTTCAACATTAGGTCAACAAAATGGACATTTCAACTATTAATTCATAGGATGGACATCTCAACCTTTTTTTTCTCTAAAAATACGGACAACTCTCCAACAAGGTGCTGCCAATTTGGCCAGTTAAACATCCCATCTGGCATGTCCTTAACATGACGCACCTGGCATAGATGTCAATAGCAAATTAACTTTTGCCACAAGACCGTTAATGACGTCATGTTACACTTTTACAAGCTAAACCAAAAATAAAACGTAAAAACAATAAAATGTGACCTTTCAGCTTACGTTATAAGTGTTCATAATGTTACAACATGAAATATTCAAATGATTGATGTGTAAAGACTTCGGTAGTGGACTAGTTAATAGACTGACATAGAGTGTCTACTTCTTAAAGTATGTCTGTGACAGCTGGTCTATTTTGTGACATTTGACAAGCGGTGACATTTGGCAAATTGTGGCCATGACATCAATTAAACCTACTGCCGATGTCACCTGGCAAAGTGACATCTGTGACATGTGTGTCGCCGTCCTCACACTCTCCCCCCCCCCCACCCTCAGACATCTCGTGACCGTAGAGATGTGACCACGTGACACGGATGTGACACCTCCAGTACGTCATTACCCACGTCTAGTGACAGCTGTCACACTGACGTCACCACCAGTGAGCGACCCAACACGCACTCGGCTAACCAAATTAGACACTCTAAGGTTAATTAGTGCATGTTTAATTAAACGGCCATACCAGCCAATTGGAAACCAAATATATTGTTTACATTAATTGTTCTATTTTTAGTTTCTCGTGATGCCTCTTGCTGTCTGATTGACCATCTAACCCACTATCAGTGGGCCAGCTTTCATTCACGCCCCATTTCATTATTTTACCTCATAAACATTTATTTATTTATTTATCTCATCAATTACAGTTTGTAAAGATATCATTCATGTTGTAATTAATATTGTTATTAATAGATTTTTTTTCTTTACGTTACACATGTAAATGATTTAACTCATCATGTAGTGTGACGATTTGATCTAGACAACACACACACACACACACACAGACATAACCACACAGACATACACACACACACACACACACATATATATATATATATATATATATATATATATATATATATATATATATATATATATATATATATATATATACATGTGTATATATATATATACATGTGTATATATATATATATATATATATATATATATATATATATATATATATATATATATATATATATATATATATGTGTGTGTGTGTGTGTGTGTGGGTGTGTGTGTGTATATATGTATATGTATATACAAGTAGTGTCTATCAAAACTTATCTAAATCGCTGGTATATATCAAAAAATTATATCTACTTCGTGTTCTGTGAATTAAGTTTATAAGAAAGTCTGTAACGGCAAGTAGATTTGTGTTAGGGTTATAACTAATGTTATGGTACGTAGTTTTAGAGTAGATTTGACTGGTAGGATGTATGTGTGTAGAGAGCGTGTAACTTGCTGGTAAACTTGTGTTTTATTGAACTGTGTATACAACGTTGTGATGTATAGCTCACACAACTTTAGCCATTTTTACCCATAAGCCTCTCACGAGCCTTTGTTGTGTAAGTAAATAAATCCGTGTGTACAATCTGCTGTGTGTGCTGTTGATGAGTATATGATTTTTCGAAATACGTGTTTATCTTATAATCTCACAAGTTTACATTGGAAACTTGATCAATCAACTACTCTGCCACATGATGTGCCCTTTACAACTCTCCCTCAAAAGATCTATCATGCCTCTAACACGAAATGCCCCTAGTTTTGGATCATGCCCCTAGCACAACGATGCCCCTACCTTTACATCCTGAACTCACCTCATCACTTTAGCCTAACAAAAAAGTGTTTTGCCAAAAGTAGTTTTCAAAACTTTCACACACTGAGTGTGAGGGTTGAAGAAATATCCAAGAAATGCACAACACAATTGCAGTTAGATATCACAGTCCTTTATTTCTCTATCCTTCAGTCACCAAATCAACCTGCCTTCTTTCGTGCCCAACCTTCAACTGCCCGCCGCATTCATTCCTACACACCTCATTTCTCCCGCTCACAACACAGCCACTGTCACCTGACCAGTCGCTTCCCTTGTACCCTCGTTCACTCCGTACAACAACATACACGTCAACACACCCGGCCTCGCGTCACACTACAAGCTACATACACACACGCAGTGACCCGTTCCACGTATTCACCTTTCATACACATTACATCACCACACTGAGTTAAACACTCAGCTACTGTATAAAAGCATCTTTGGTCCACCTCGCATTTTAATCATAACTTATTTAAAAACATTCTACGACTGCTTTTACATAGGACTTATAATACCATGTCACTTAACAAGGACATAGAGTAGATCACATGGATTGTCTCGTATCTTTCTCCTCAGAATTTTGTAGTTACCATACATCACTAGGGGCAAGATGGTCTGAATTACAACATCATTCTGAATTTTGTAGTTACCATACATCACTAGGGGCACGATGGTCTGGATTACAACATCATTCTGAATTTTGTAGTTACCATACATCACTAGGGGCACGATGGTCTGGATTACAACATCATTCTGAATTTTGTAGTTACCATACATCACTAGGGGCACGATGGTCTGGATTACAACATCATTCTGAATTTTGTAGTTACCATACATCACTAGGGGCACGATGGTCTGGATTACAACATCATTCTGAATTTTGTAGTTACCATACATCACTAGGGGCACGATGGTCTGGATTACAACATCATTCTGAATTTTGTAGTTACCATACATCACTAGGGGCACGATGGTCTGGATTACAACATCATTCTGAATTTTGTAGTTACCATACATCACTAGGGGCACGATGGTCTGGATTACAACATCATTCTGAATTTTGTAGTTACCATACATCACTAGGGGCACGATGGTCTGGATTACAACATCCTTTACGTCAGGTTTTATCCTGCACACAACTTTACACCGACTCCTACATCTATTTACATGTGTTTTCTTATACACATAACATTTTCCACATGTGTCATGTAAATATCGCTGTAAATTGATAATGTAAATTTATCTGTACATAGACCAGACAATGTCGATATAATTGTAACTAATATCCTGTTTTATGAAACTTTTTTTTCCCCTGGAACGTGTCTTCAAGTAGAGAATCATACTATCTGCGGCCCACACCCGGCCATAAAGACTTGTAACCATGACGTCATGTGGCCCACGAGGACTTGTAACCATGACGTCATGTGGCCCATGAGGACTTGTAACCATGACGTCATGTGGCCCATGAGGACTTGTAACCATGACGTCATGTGGCCCACGAGGACTTGTAACCATGACGTCATGTGGCCCACGAGGACTTGTAACCATGACGTCATGTGGCCCATGAGGACTTGTAACCATGACGTCATGTGGCCCATGAGGACTTGTAACCATGACGTCATGTGGCCCACGAGGACTTGTAACCATGACGTCATGTTGACCATGATGAATTGTGTCCATGACGTCATGTGACCCATGAGGACTTGTAACCATGACGTCATGTGGCCCATGAGAACTTGTAACCATGACGTCATGTCGACCATGAGGACTTGTAACCATGACGTCATGTGACCCATGATGAATTGTAACCATGACATCATGTGACACATAAGAACTTGTAATATGACACTTCGGTATAACTATAAGAACATGAACGTCTACCGGCTATAATTCCTGCTTATCCCGTATAATCACTTTCTTTCAATAATTAATCAAGCATAGAAAATCTCAAACGAATTGAAACTTTTTCATGGATTGTGTGACCTTCGACCCCATGTGTAACCTCCCCAAACTATACGACATTTTTCTTACGTTTCAAGCTCAACAAAAGCTATGAAATAAACCACCCACTTTTAGTTATATTATCTTTTTTTCCTGGTCTTTTTTCAGTGGGGAAAAACCCAAAATTCTGTTTCAGCCAACCAAAATTGATTACATATGCATTTATCAACTGTTCATAATCAATAATTCACTATGTCCATATTCAGCTTTCTCTCGCTTATCCAGTATACCTTATGAATGTTGTATCATATCTAACAATATTATCAATTTGTAAACCTTTAAGGTATTACATTACTTTTGGGGTTTATTTTCCTTTGTTTCGTTTCGCTGGTGTTATCATTTTTTAATTTCCCCATGTGTATAAAGAAGGCTTGTGATTCGTCTTGATTCGTTTTTCGTCTGATGACGTAACATTATTTTAAAAAATGTATTCACGAAATGACTTGATTTGTTTCCATTTTTAAATTAAAAATATTTATAAAAGGCTTGGTTTTTGTACTTCGTTATCTGTACGGTCCCCTAAAACCAAAGGAAGAAATATCTGCAATTAATGCCCCTTTACAAATTTTCGACACAAATTACCAATCTTAATTAACCTTAATCAAGTATAAAGAAAACATAGACTGCACAAAGGTAATATTGATTTTTTGTTTAGTTACATTTTTTTTATAAACCCATCGTTAAAAATACAAAGGAGATTAAATCTCGAAAAGCAGTCTACATTAAATGCTTTAAAAGTCGTGTAAAGTTAATATTTTAAAATGTGGAAATAAAACTTTCTTGTTTGACCCATGTCGGAATTTATTAAATATTAAATATATTTGATGTTTTAAGTATTTTCGGTAACTAAACATTTTTTTTTTAAAATCACAAGCATTATGATAATAAATTATGTTTTTGTTTACTTATCAAGTTGAAAATATAAATAAACATGGTAAAATTAGACCATGCAGTTTTTAAAAATAATTGTATTTAAAAGTTTTACAGGCAAAGTTTTAAGTATAAATCACAAACAAGAATGTTTATCCCTGACTTCCAGTACAGCCAATCAAAGCTTGTCTTACGAAAGTGAAACATCCGGTTATAATTTATAGGCTTGATAAAAATAAATAAAAATGAAGCTTTAAACACACACAAATATTTTCATGTTCTCTGCATTTGCACCTTTTTAAAAATAAATTCTAGAATACAAAATGTTTGTGGGTTTATTTTTCAGACTTTGGTAACCTTTTCGTTTACGGCATCTATGAAAGCAAAATAGACCAAAAAAAAATTCATAAAAAGCGTATTGATAACAAGCTGTTATATAATGATACACTAAAACATAGAAAATAAACAATACACTACTATTTAAATAAATATACAGAAAAGCGTCGGTCACTTTATACTTTATGATCTATTAGGTACCTTTACTAATGTTTAGGGCGAGACCCACGCTTTTCTTTCTAGTTATTTAAATAGTAGTGTATAGTTTGTTTTCTACTTTTTAGTGCATTATTACATAACAGCTTGTTATTAACACGTTGTTAAGGAAATTATTTTTTATCCATATCAATAAATATAATAGAAGTCATTTCGTCAACTTTGTTGTCATTAGCTTCAAGCAGTCTAGGGTATTTTAGAATTATATTGTATTTAGATGTGCTCGCTAAGCTACAGACTTTTAAACGTTTAAGTATGTCTAATTATGGCCCATACCACGTGAAAATTTTTATCAGAAACGTAAAATGCTCTGCTTTCCGATCCAGATTAGAAGTGCAACCATTTTGTGTGAGCTAAACAAAGACTAAAGTAAATAAGACAGCTCACAAAAATGACAGAGAAAAACACGCGCACACACAAATATACATCACAAACACACACACATAAATCAAAGACAGACAAACACACACGCACACATGCATAACAGACAAAAGCACACACACATATACACACACACATACATGACAGCCAGACAAACACACACAAATACACACGTAAATACTTTAGCAAAAACCTGCTTACGCCAATGGCAACACATTTACAAAGATACACATAGATGCACACACACGTGTACATACATATAAACAAACAATTGCCGGTAATGGAGCAGAAGATTCAAAACAAAAATGGATGCCATTAAACTATGTTTAATTTTACTCCAGTGCAAAACTAAAAACAAATAATCTGAACATCATAATTTCAAGATGCCGGTAGATAACATATAACATAACACTAAACATAACATGATAACAGCATGTGTTATAACACTAACATGATTATTATGACAACAAGTGTCAAAACTAAAGCATAACCTGACATAATGGCATACCACTTAGCCTTACATTCTTATATTAGCCTCGAACACAAAATGTTTCTATTGCTGGCTGCCCGCTTATGACGTCATCAATTTTGTCAAGGTAGTAGCACTTTCATTCAGTTCATATGCACTATTGTTGTAAGATAAAGTTACCTAATGATATTCAACTTCAGTGTGTAGGTGAATCCAATAATTAATTATCAAATAATGTATTATCCAATAATTAATTATTGAACCATAATAGTATTCATTACCTCGAAATAAAACGTACATGTAAGCAAAATTTAAAACATGTAACAGTTGCTTCTCCCACTCAAGTTGGTGAAGTAGAGTCAATGCTAGAAGACTTTGGGTGAGCAGTGGGGTCGCTCTTATTTATAGAGGTGCTGTTTCATCAGCAGGGCTGTTTGGGCAGTCTGATGCAACACACAACAGGGCTGTTTGAAGCAGGCCACAACAGGGCTGTTGTGCTGTCCGTGTTACTAATGTACACACAACAGGGCTGTTTGAAGCAGGACACAACAGGGCTGTTTGAAGCAGGACACAACAGGGCTGTTTGTGCTGTCCGTGTTAATACTGTGCACACAAACCACCCGACTCTGCTGTCTCCTATAGCCACCAACACAGATTAACAGGATAATTCCCACGATAAAGGGAAATCACTTATGAAAACCAAATTTTCAGTATTTTCTTTGTTATCTCCCTTGGTAAGACAAACTTGCTCTCGCTATAGAGCAACAGGTTGTAGAACAAGATGGAAGCCCACGGTGACAAGAACACATCCAGCATGGCTACGCCCCTGCTTCATCTTCCTCCCCCTCGTGGTCGGACATCACGTGATCAGACACCTGCAGCCTCTGGTCCAGCCAGTAGGTCACCATCTCGCCTTTCCCCTAGAACAAAGCAAAGACACAGTTATTTCCCTTCAGCATCGAAGGACTTGGTTAGACTTAAATTTAAATATACTTATTTTAATATAATTCAGATTACTTTAAATACATATATGAATACATGTACATACAATTGTAAATATAACTTTTTTTCAAAATTCACATTACTTTGAGTGTAAATCGGCATATAAATACATGTACATATAACAGTAAAAATGGAACATGGTGGTCGGAAAGTGGAGCGTGCGACTACGAAGATGAAATTCTCGAGTTCGAGTCCTCGGTCTGATGGGTACCTGTCTCACTTTAGGCCGCTGGGCATACAACTACTCCTACACTACTCGTCATATGCTGAGATAACAGAAATAGGTCAACTCTACTTCATCTGCCCCAGGGACCGCTAAGTTCGAAATAGTAATTCTTTACAAATGTAAAATTTCATGTACATAATGTAAATACATCCTACTGTAATAATACATACACCCGTACATACACCCGTACATACACCTGTACATACACCTGTACATACACGTGTACATGCACCTGTACATACACCTGCAACTGGATCGGTACATACACCTGTACATACACCTATCCATATACCTGTACATACACCTGTACATACACCTGTACATACACCTGCAACTGGATCGGTACATACACCTGTACATACACCTATCCATATACCTGTACATACACCTGTACATACACTTACACATACACCGGTACATACATCGGTACATACACCTGTACATACACCTGTACATACACCTATCCATACAATTACACATACACCGGTACATACACCTATCCATACACCCGTACTTACACCTGTACATACATACATACACCTGTACATACACCTGTACATACACCTGTACATACACCTGTACATACACCTGTACATACACCTGTACATACACCTGTACATACACCTATTCATACAACTGTACATACATCTGCACATACACCTATACATACACCTATACATACACCTATACATACACCTGTACATACACCTGTACATACACCTGTACATACACCTGTACATACACCTGTCAACTCACCTTGATCTCAACCTTCCCTCTCTCTGTGATGACGTAGCCACCTCTCCTCTCCAACTCCCTCCTCGTTCTGTCTGTGATTTGAATTTTTAACGCTGAAAGTAAAGCGCCACTCATTACAACATTGCATTAAATATTGTCATTATTAAATCATCATTACAACATTGCATCAAATATTGTCATTATTAAATCATCATTCACTACGTCATGAAAATATCTTTCTATTAAACAATTTATTGGTCTATTTGAATGGTAATACCTGATCTCTATCATATTATTTAGAATAATAATACTTAATACTCTAACGTAACTGGCATTTGTTATTACTAATTTACAATATATAATCACTACATTTCTACTTTTGTAATATGTTATAGAGACACTTGATTTCTAAAAATCTGCGGTTTTTTATGTACAGAGAAACGACCCAACTTATTTAATTGTTTGGCTGCTAAAATGTGTGTTTGTAGTGTCTACGGCAGGTTATTTAGCGCCTTAGGCAAAACTTATTAAAACGCTCACTTTCACATACATTAATTACTAAAACATAGATCTCTGTATAAGAAAACAATTAATTAAAAGTGACATATTCATTTAGCATACACGTTATATGTAGACATCAAAATCAAATTTTACTTGATTTCCTTCATCGCAAAAGTTTGTACTAATTCCTTATATTCCAGTTTGCAAGCGTAATCACATTTTATTGAAATTGTTGCTGTTCACGAGTCTATTTTGTACTTTACGATAGCCGCCCCCCCCCCCCCCGTCCGTCCGTCCGTCAGTCCGTCCGTAGAAAATTTTAAGTTCTTCCCCTCCCCCCCCTCCCTCCCCCCCCCTTCCGAGAGAAAATACACTTCCTTATACAGTTGGGCTGTCTGCAGACCTCCCAAGGTGAGTTCCAGAACGGAACTTACCTGTTTTATGCTTGACTGTCTTTAGTAATAATTTTACAAAATGTTTATATTGTGTGATTATGTAACGATTTTTTTGGTTTTTTTTTTAAAAATAAAAGGATATAAATGTTATAGATTCCAGCCTTTGTTATATATGAATCCTTTAGGAGAGGGTGAAAAATATGAAAAGACAATTAATTAGATGTTAAATTTACGACTAAGTCTGTATGTCTACTAACATTAAGTATTGTAATCTATAATTGCTACTGATGTATTTGTTTTTCAACTTGATAATGCTAAAAAAACCTACCAAAATTTTTTGTTTAGAACTTAAGCTCTATATAATTTTTACAATAGCAAATAATAACTTTAAGTTGTATTTATATTTAAGCGGTCAACCTAAGGTGCCGGAATTTGAAATGAATGTTAAGTTAAGCAACGAATTATCTCCCATTTGAAAATCTAAATACCAATATTTTTTCAAGGGAAATAACTTTCACATGAATACTAAATTAACCAAGTGTAACTAAGACATGCTTGAAAAACATAATAAAATGATCTAAAGTTCATTACGTAATAATTATAACAAACTTTTTATAATAGCTATGTAAAGTTGTAAACACAATATATTCTGTCTATTGAATACTTAACTGTAGGTTTTGTTTGAAAGTCCGAAAATGGTAGCTTTATTATAACATACTTCTATTCAATTTTGATGACATCCACGTAATTATTATCATTGTTTATTGATGCAACTGTAATATATTTTGGATCCCCTAAATAAAGGGACAAAAAATTCTAACACGGGTAAGTGATCTAAACATTGCTAGAATCATTCATTAAATATGACAGTACTCCCAATCAACAACGATTTCACTGGACCTACTACTACACTTTAACAGTCAATATAATTCGATACCTTAATACCACAAGAATCAATACTTCCGAACTCCAGAACTACGATACTTCATCACCTGCATTCTCATTTTTCTATTACCAATCAGATTCATCATAACTTACAGGTACACTCCTTTGAAAACCCCGTCATTACAAAACTAGGACAGATTTCTAATTCAAAGTCAGAGAAAACGAGAGTTACAAGCCCTATCAAAATTAGATAAACGTTTGGAATGTTCGAAATGTAAATTACGAACTTATTTAATCGTTTTCTACATCAATTATGTGACACCAAAATAAAAAGGCAAAGTGACTGTTAAACAGCGCCCCGACCTTTCCAAATTAGGGAGGTGGGGGGTTGCATTTTCACTATCGCGAATAAATATAGGCCTATATAGACCTAATTTTGCGGTGAGGGTGAAAATTTGATAGTTCGTCCTGGGTGCCGAAATAGATCGCTACTACTTTATAAAAGTTTTTAATTATTAAGTACTTTTTGATAATAGCGATTAAACCCCCCCCCCCTTGCGATGGCGCCCTAAGCAACCGCCTAGTTTGCCTGATAGGTAACGCCGGCCCTGTATGTTTGTATGTGTGCTTGTGTTTGTTTCTCAGTTTTTCTGACTTTTGTACGACAAGATTCATTAAAACGTGCGTCTTTGTGTGTTGTGTGAGCTACTCTGGTAATTGGTGTTCGTGTGTGTTTGTGTGTGATTCTGAGTGTGCATGTGTATGTTTAATGTGAGTGTGTGTTTACTCACGTAGACTAGTGGACTCCATGCGTGAGGCGACATTGACCTTGTGTGTGTGTGTGTGTGTGTGTGTGTGTGTGTGTGCGTGCGTGTGCGTGAGTACTCACGTAGACTCGTAGACTCCATGCGTGAGGCGACATTGACCGTATCACCAAACAGACAATACCTAGGCATCTTGTGGCCCACCACACCGGCTACTACCGGCCCTGCAGATGGTGCGTCATACTTATTATCATAACAAGCATTGCAATTAAAACATTTGAAGTATTAATTGCCAACCTAGTCACCGTAACTATAACAAGCTTCAATTTATGTATTAAATTAAAGAAAGGAGGTAACTCAATTTTACTAGAAGGTTTTTAACAAAACCGTTGTTACCTCCCCTTAAGACTAAGATTCCTCTCTCTTACCTGAGTTGAGGCCTATCCTCATCCTAAGGCTCTCCCCCGGCAGATGCTGGACGGTCATCTGACTGAGGTTGTCCCTCAGATCGAGGGCCATCTCGGCCATCTCCGTGGCGTGTCTCTCCTTGTTTTCTTGGGGCAGGCCACTGGCCACCATGTAGGCGTCACCTGAACGTAGCAGGTCAGGTGAGCAAGGTCATTGTGTAAGTTGATGTAGGTCTTTGTGCAAGTTGATGTAGGTCTTTGTGTAAGTTGATGTAAGTCTTTGTGTGAGTTGATGTAGGTCTTTGTGTGAGTTGATGTAGGTCATTGTGTAAGTTGATGTAGGTCTTTGTGTAAGTTGATGTAGGTCTTTGTGTAAGTTGATGTAGGTCTTTATGTAAGTTGATGTAGGTCTTTGTGCAAGTTGCTGTAGGTCATTGTGTAAGTTTATGTAGGTCTTTGTCTAAGTGTAGGTCTTTGGATGTTAAGTGTATTCGTATATATGTTCATAACATTTAAACTTTACAAATTATATAAAACCTTATGGTTACATACACATAAATCACGTTTACCCCACCCCTCCCTATAGACACACACAAATCAAATTTACCCACCTATAGACACACACAAATCAAATTTACCCACCTATAGACACACACAAATCAAATGTACCCACCTATAGTTTCGACTTTATAAACATCATAAATGTCCAGTATGTCATCAAACATGCGATACAACAAGTTCAACATGTCGATCACCTGCGTTATACGTACATATTTTATTTACATACATTTATATGTATAGCTTACATATTAAATTTACATGTATGGTGAATACATCCACATAATTTCTGTTTAAACTATGTATCCAAAATACACATACTTATATTATTATATATTTCCAAAAATCTTCCTAACTTTACATATTAATTCCGCCTACTTACTTTTTACCATAACGTATATATTTTTTAAATACTTTTGTTCCGTAAAATCGGATAAGTTTTCATAGATTTCCTAACCAAGACGTTTTAAACAGGGTCTGACTGCTTCAGCTATTTCAATATAAATCTATTTTAGCCCACTTTACATCTGGTCGTTAGCGCCTAATGTCAAACTTATGGACGTCTCTATTTCCTGTGAGGAGTTAGATGGATGCACTTTACTGTTTACTTTCTCGAAGACGCAGTATAGAGGTAGTATTGTAATCGTGCAAAAAAAAAAATTGAGATTTTCACAAATCTCGACGTTTTACACCTCCTTGAGTCGCAAGAAACATAGTTTTGCAATTTTGTTCGTATGTCTGTGTGTGTATAAATGTGTGTATGTTTGTGTGTATCTGTGAACACGATAACCTGAGTACCGTTACAGCTAGGTTGATAAAATTTCATATATAAGTATATATATATATATATATATATATATATATATATATATATATATATATATATATATATATATATATATATATATATTTGTAGTTCTGTATCTGTAAATGCGAAACAATATGTGTACACTAGCGCGGAAAGGTATTAGTACTTTATAAATTTACATGCGTTTTTTGAGAGATCGGAAGTAGCGTAAATTACTACTTCCGGTCAACGGAAATACTTTCTTAAACTTTACATAGAGGGCCAACTTTCATAAACTTTACTTAAAGGGCCACCTTTCTAAAACTTCACTTAGAGAGCCAACTTTCTTAAACTTTACATAGAGGGCCAACTTTCTTAACATACTTTACATAGAGGGCCAACTTTTTAAACTTTACATAGAGGGCCAACTTTCTTAACAAACTTTACACAGAGGGCCAACTTTCATAAACTTTACTTAAAGGGCCACCTTTCTAAAACTTCACTTAGAGAGCCAACTTTTTAAACTTTACATAGAGGGCCAACTTTCTTAACAAACTTTACACAGAGGGCCAACTTTCTTAAACTTTACATAGAGGGCCAACTTTATTAAACTTTATATAGAGGGCCAATTTTCTTAAACTTTACATAGAGGGCCAACTTTCTTAACACACTTTACATAGAGGGCCAACTTTCTTAACACACTTTACATAGAGGGCCAACTTTCTTAACATACTTTACATAGAGAGCCAACTTTCTTAACAAACTTTACATAGAGGGCCAACTTTCTTAACACACTTTACATAGAGGGCCAACTTTCTTAAACTTTACATAGAGGGCCAACTTTCTTAACACACTTTACATAGAGGGCCAACTTTCTTAACAAACTTTACACAGAGGGCCAACTTTCTTAACATACTTTACATAGAGAGCCAACTTTCTTAACAAACTTTACATAGAGGGCCAACTTTCTTAAACCATACATAGAGGGCCAACTTTCTTAAACATTTCATAGAGGGCCAACTTTCTTAAACTTTACATAGAGGGCCAACTTTCTTAACAAACTTTACATAGAGGGCCAACTTTCTTAAACTATACATAGAGGGCCAACTTTCTTAACACACTTTACATAGAGGGCCAACTTTCTTAACACACTTTACATAGAGGGCCAACTTTCTTAACACACTTTACACAGAGGGCCAACTTTCTTAACAAACTTTACACAGAGGGCCAACTTTCTTAACACACTTTACACAGAGGGCCAACTTTCTTAACACACTTTACATAGAGGGCCAACTTTCTTAAACTTTACACAGAGGGCCAACTTTCTTAAACTTTACACAGAGGGCCAACTTTCATAAACTTTACTTAAAGGGATACCTTTCTAAAACTTCACTTAGAGAGCCAACTTTCTTAAACTTTACATAGAGGGCCAACTTTCTTAAACTTTATATAGAGGGCCAATTTTCTTAAACTTTACATAGAGGGCCAACTTTCTTAAACTTTACATAGAGGGCCAACTTTCTTAACACACTTTACATAGAGGGCCAACTTTCTTAACACACTTTACATAGAGGGCCAACTTTCTTAACACACTTTACATAGAGGGCCAACTTTCTTAAACTTTACATAGAGGGCCAACTTTCTTAAATTTTACATAGAGGGCCAACTTTCTTAAATTTTACATTGATGGCCAACTTTCTTAACACACTTTACATAGAGGGCCAACTTTCTTAAACTTTATATAGAGGGCCAACTTTCTTAAACTTTACATAGAGGGCCAATTTTCTTAAACTTTACATAGAGGGCCAACTTTCTTAACACACTTTACATAGAGGGCCAACTTTCTTAACACACTTTACATAGAGGGCCAACTTTCTTAACACACTTTACATAGAGGGCCAACTTTCTTAAACTTTACATAGAGGGCCAACTTTCTTAAATTTTACACAGAGGGCCAACTTTCTTAAATTTTACATTGATGGCCAACTTTCTTAACACACTTTACATAGAGGGCCAACTTTCTTAAACTTTACATAGAGGGCCACCTTTCTAAAACTTCACTTAGAGAGCCAACTTTTTAAACTTTACATAGAGGGCCAACTTTCTTAACAAACTTTACACAGAGGGCCAACTTTCTTAAACTTTACATAGAGGGCCAACTTTATTAAACTTTATATAGAGGGCCAATTTTCTTAAACTTTACATAGAGGGCCAACTTTCTTAACACACTTTACATAGAGGGCCAACTTTCTTAACACACTTTACATAGAGGGCCAACTTTCTTAACATACTTTACATAGAGAGCCAACTTTCTTAACAAACTTTACATAGAGGGCCAACTTTCTTAACACACTTTACATAGAGGGCCAACTTTCTTAAACTTTACATAGAGGGCCAACTTTCTTAACACACTTTACTTAGAGGGCCAACTTTCTTAACAAACTTTACACAGAGGGCCAACTTTCTTAAACTTTACATAGAGGGCCAACTTTCTTAACACACTTTACATAGAGGGCCAACTTTCTTAACAAACTTTACACAGAGGGCCAACTTTCTTAACATACTTTACATAGAGAGCCAACTTTCTTAACAAACTTTACATAGAGGGCCAACTTTCTTAAACCATACATAGAGGGCCAACTTTCTTAAACATTTCATAGAGGGCCAACTTTCTTAAACTTTACATAGAGGGCCAACTTTCTTAACATACTTTACATAGAGGGCCAACTTTCTTAACACACTTTACATAGAGGGCCAATTTTCTTAACACACTTTACATAGAGGGCCAACTTTCTTAACACACTTTACACAGAGGGCCAACTTTCTTAACAAACTTTACACAGAGGGCCAACTTTCTTAACACACTTTACACAGAGGGCCAACTTTCTTAACACACTTTACATAGAGGGCCAACTTTCTTAAACTTTACACAGAGGGCCAACTTTCTTAAACTTTACACAGAGGGCCAACTTTCATAAACTTTACTAAAAGGGATACCTTTCTAAAACTTCACTTAGAGAGCCAACTTTCTTAAACTTTACATAGAGGGCCAACTTTCTTAAACTTTATATAGAGGGCCAATTTTCTTAAACTTTACATAGAGGGCCAACTTTCTTAAACTTTACATAGAGGGCCAACTTTCTTAAACTTTACATAGAGGGCCAACTTTCTTAAACTTTACATAGAGGGCCAACTTTCTTAACACACTTTACATAGAGGGCCAACTTTCTTAAACTTTACATAGAGGGCCAACTTTCTTAACACACTTTACATAGAGGGCCAACTTTCTTAACATACTTTACATAGAGGGCCAACTTTCTTAACACACTTTACATAGAGGGCCAACTTTCTTAACACACTTTACATAGAGGGCCAACTTTCTTAAACTTTACATAGAGGGCCAACTTTCTTAACACACTTTACATAGAGGGCCAACTTTCTTAACATACTTTACATAGAGGGCCAACTTTCTTAACACACTTTACATAGAGGGCCAACTTTCTTAACACACTTTACATAGAGGGCCAACTTTCTTAAACTTTACATAGAGGGCCAACTTTCTTAAATTTTACAGAGAGGGCCAACTTTCTTAAATTTTACATTGATGGCCAACTTTCTTAACACACTTTACATAGAGGGCCAACTTTCTTAAACTTTATATAGAGGGCCAACTTTCTTAAACTTTACATAGAGGGCCAATTTTCTTAAACTTTACATAGAGGGCCAACTTTCTTAACACACTTTACATAGAGGGCCAACTTTCTTAACACACTTTACATAGAGGGCCAACTTTCTTAACACACTTTACATAGAGGGCCAACTTTCTTAAACTTAACATAGAGGGCCAACTTTCTTAAATTTTACATAGAGGGCCAACTTTCTTAAATTTTACATTGATGGCCAACTTTCTTAACACACTTTACATAGAGGGCCAACTTTCTTAAACTTTACATAGAGGGCCACCTTTCTAAAACTTCACTTAGAGAGCCAACTTTTTAAACTTTACATAGAGGGCCAACTTTCGTAACAAACTTTACACAGAGGGCCAACTTTCTTAAACTTTACATAGAGGGCCAACTTTATTAAACTTTATATAGAGGGCCAATTTTCTTAAACTTTACATAGAGGGCCAACTTTCTTAACACACTTTACATAGAGGGCCAACTTTCTTAACACACTTTACATAGAGGGCCAACTTTCTTAACATACTTTACATAGAGAGCCAACTTTCTTAACAAACTTTACATAGAGGGCCAACTTTCTTAACACACTTTACATAGAGGGCCAACTTTCTTAAACTTTCCATAGAGGGCCAACTTTCTTAACACACTTTACTTAGAGGGCCACCTTTCTAAAACTTCACTTAGAGAGCCAACTTTTTAAACTTTACATAGAGGGCCAACTTTCGTA